AAAAATCCTCAACACTCTTTTAACATTCTTGAGCTGAGTAATAGAAGCTTGACAAAAAATGATTAAGTCATCAGCAAACTGAAGATGACACAACTTCGTAGAATTTTCAGTTTTCCCAATAACAAACCCTTGGAACATACCCTTGTCAACTGCTTTAGTAAGCATCAAATGGAGTAACTCGCCAACCATGTTGAACAGGAGCGGAGAGAGACTACAACCTTGTCTTAAACCCTTGGCCATAGGGAACTCTTCCGAAGGAGACCCATTCACAAGAATCGAAATCGAAGCTGTTGAAATGTACTTAGAAATCCACATGGACCATTTTTTACAAAAACCCATCTCTGACATCGTTCTAAATAAAATAGGCCATTCCACAAAATCGTAGGCTCTACGAAAATCAACTTTTAGAACAACTCCACGCAACCCTTGTTTTCTCCAGTAGTCAATTCCTTCATTCGCAATAAAGGCGCAATCCAACAATATCTCCCCGGTATAAAAGCAAACTGGGATTGACTAATGATATTTCCAACACAGCAGCTCAATCTCTTAGATAAAACTTTAGATAGGATCTTGTAAAGACTGCCCACAAGACTAATTGGTCTAAAGTTGTCCACACTATCCGTATTTAGCTTCTTCGGAATGAGCGTAATAAACGCATGATTAACCCCATTTTCCCAATCCCTGCCCAAGTAAAAATCCTGAAAAAATCTCATTACATGCTCCTTCAAGAACGGCCAACATTTCTTGAAGAAGCCCATTGTGAAGCCATCCGGGCCAGGAGCTTTAGAACTATCCGATGAGGCTATCGCTTGCCAGATTTCCTGTTCAAAAAACTGCTCCTTTAGTTTTGTAGCTTGGCCCTCTGTTATCTTAGCAAAATCCAAAGATAAAACATCCACTTCCATAGTAGACTTATAATTGTAGGCATTCTTAAAATAATTTGCAATATGCACCTTTATCGAATGCGGATCTGAAACAATAGAGCCATTGATCTTCAAACTTGTAATTTCATTTCTTCTACTCCTGTTTAGCGCAGACAGATGAAAGAATCTTGTATTTCTATCCCCATCCTTAATCCATTTTGCCCTTGACTTCTGGAACCAAATGCTTTCTTCAACCCTATACAACCTCCAAAGATTCGATCTGAACTGTGACAACTGTTCCCACTCCTGTTGGGAGAGAACACCACCTTGTGCTTTAAATTCAATGTCATGAATCTTCAATTCCAAATCTGAAATAGACTCAGAAATCCCTTGAAACTTACTGCCAGACCAGTTTCTGATTGATTTTTTTGTTCCTTGTAAAAAACTGAAGAAACCCCTTCTCTTCCTACTCACCCTCCAATTATCCAAGGACAATTTAACCAACTCCTCAAATCCTTCCTCCTCTAAAAGATAATTAAAAAAACTGAATGGTTTAGGACCCCAATCTACTGATTTTTCCTCCAATGAAACAAGATTGTGATCAGATAAAGACCTAGGTAGTAAGCTCTACACAATATTCGGAAAACATATCAAAAAACTCCCAGAAATAAAGAACTTGTCAAGTCTGACCCAAGTAGAAGTTTCTCTGTTGTTACACCATGTAAACCTTCCCCCTACCATAGGAAGATCGATTAAGTTTGTTTGATTCAGGAAATTTCTCAAAATATCAATAGAGAGCCAATTTTGAGACCTTCCCAATTTCTCAGCCGGATCAAGGTACACATTTAAATCACCTCCAATACAAACTGGCCCGGTTTGAGCAACAACAAAATCCGATAACTCCCTGAAAAATTGAATCAATGGAAGGACCGTACACATTAATGATCACACAGTCTTCAGTTAAGTTCTTAAACTTCCCAAACACTGCAATGAATCTACCACTTAAGTGGCAATTGGAGACTTCAAAATCCTTATCGGATTGCATATGGGAATATGGTTTTGTTGTTGTTGTTGTAAAATCCTTATCATTCTACAAAACCATTAATCCACCTTCAGACCCCACCGATGAACCAAAGTTCCTCCATTAAGAATACTACCTCCTAACCTCCTCCTAAGAGCCTGAGAACATGATTCCAGCTTTGTTTCCTGAATGAGAAGAATGCACGGTTTGAACTTCTTAACCATATTTGATATAGCTCTTGATTTCTCTTTTTTCCCCAAACCCCGTACATTCCATGAGATAATCTTAATCTTTATCATGAAGACTTGTCTAAAACCAAAGCCTCAAGACTAAAGAACTATCAGCAGTCTAAACTCCCGAGTCCAGCCCCTCCTTACTATCCACCAAACCCTCCTCAAAATTTATAATTTTTTCCAAAAAGGCCTTCTTCCCCTCCTTGAAAGAAATCCCCAAAATATTACTTACATCCCATGTAGCCAACGCCTCTTCCAAAAATACCAAGAAATTTAAAGAAGACACAGTAGGAAAACTGACCCTATCCAAAGCTTCCCTGACCAGAAGCCTTCACTTTCTTCTATCCTCATTCCTAGTCACTGGACCAGATTGACCAACTGATGTAACATCTGTTATACACCGGGGAGACTGAAAGTGATCTCCAGCAAAAGAAGACTAAAACTACCTTCCTCCTCAACCCCCAAAGGGCTTCCCTCCAAGATAGCAGGAAAAGATTGATTACTCAACAAAGGACCGATTTTAGTCCTGTTATTTTCTGACAACTCCAAAGATTGCAATACTCCTTCACTGCTCGGGTTAAACCACACCTTTCTATCTTTAGATCTTCTATACACTCTAGAAGTAGATCCTTTTTTCCACCTTCCTAGCGATGCATTTCTGAAATACAAGCTTCTGGATAAATGATCCGACGGACACCAACTCCTAAAACCCTTTGCAAGAGACTTCTTATTAAGTCCTAGCCCCTGGTAACTACCCATATGAACTTGCCTTGCTTCCTTTTCCACCTCTGTTGCAACCGCACTGCAAACTTCCTTATCCCTGACAAAAACTTCCTCTGACCTTTCCTCATTTGACTTATTTGAATACCCTCTATCTATGGCCCCACCAGGCAACGCAATGGAGTTTAAATCTGACGAAACAGAAGCTAAATTCTGCCTTTTTGATTCCTCCGAACCAGGTTGCTGCTGAACTCCTTCCATCTCCACTCGAGACTCCAAACGGTTACCATAACCCAATTTTAATAAATTGACAGCTGGCCCAGACAGGGAAATTCTATTAATATTTGAGTTGGGCTCACTCAAGTCCTCTTGGTGGGCTTTATCACATTCATTAATAAAAACATTCCTAGACCAAGGCCCCTGTAATCCTCTTTAAAATTCAAATCTTCTTCAGGAAAATTTGACACCTTAGCACTACTAGGTTGACCTTCTCCTTCCTTTAGCATTAAATGCTTACTTCCACTACCGCCTGCCACTGTTTTACAGACCTCCCCTACCAACCATCTGGCTATTGTGTCCCTAGAGTCCTCAGCTAGCAATTGTGGGTTGCCTACCCCGCCTGAACTTCGGTCTTCTTTCTCCACCAATGAAACTTCATCTCGAAACTTCATCTCTAAACTCACCCTCTCCGACCACCGTAAAATTTTCTACAGAATAGTTTTCTTGTTTTGTACTAACCAAACCCACACTGATTTTTACCTTATAGGATCTCCCATATGAACCCAATATAACAATTTCTTGTATATCAAAAGGACTGGCCACCCTCAACAAAGCCCTTGCCACCGCCAAATCCTCTCTTCTGACCGTGGACTCGTGGAAACACACCAGTTTCCCCCACCTTGAGACAAGCTTTTCCAGAAAAGGAACATTCCAACATAGTAAGGGGATTCCAACCAACTCCACCTAGCAAAATGCCATCGGGACTCTATCTACACTCATAAGTGGATCAAGCCAATCAAACCAAAAGGACACTTCCTCCCTTCTGCTCGCCCACACCTCCTCGAACTCTTCCTTCGAACCAAAAGATATGATACAAGAATTCCATGAATATCCCCATTTAGCTCCCTTGACCTTGATCCCTTCACTAGCCAGCCCCTTCACTACTAACTCCAAATCGAACTGGGATTTGATGATCTCAGTTAATGATCTTTTCACCCAATCATATTCATCTGAGGGAATATGCATTTCCCACAAATTCCTCAGCCCTGCATCCTTGTCTTGATGTCCCTCCCAAATCTCTTTAGTCGCCGGACCTTCCCTCCGCCCATCATAAGAAGTTAGCACAACCTTATAAGATCTCTCATCCCTCAATCGACTGTATGACTCAGGACCACCTCTTCTACTCTGATTCACATCCTTTTTCCACTTATCTTCATCCCTTCTGTCGTTGCTACTAACAGCTTGCTTGATTCTTTGCTTCTGGTACTTAGCAACTCCTTCTGAGATTTTCTTGCCATCTATCCAAATACCATTGACATTTGCTATCGCTTTCTTCAACCCATCCTCCTTTGCGAACTGAACGAAAGCAAAAGTATAATTTCTATAGTTCGGCTTGTTAGAATTACTCGGAATGTAAACACGTAGAACATTCCCCTGTTGTTGAAAAATTTCCTTGACTGTTTTCCCAGATACCCTTTTACTCAGATTATCAACAAAAACCGTCCAATCCTCACCGGAGGACTGACCACCTAAAACCCTCTCTCTCTCTCCCGCTCTCTCTGCCACCCTCTCTCATCATGTTTTTCCAGGCTAACCAACTTGGTATATTTAATATGCCACAACATATGTAGCTGTTGGAAATGAAAATGCAGCAAACCAAATCTTAAGACTCAATCAAATATTATACCACGAAACACTACTTTAAAACCCTAATCTCTCAATTAAACACAGAAAAAGACTGAACGCAACATGACAAAGGGCATTCCAGAAATACACCAAATAACAAAATACCCCTAGAGGCCAAAGTTGAATTACATTGACAACTTGAATGAGAAACTTTGTTGTTGAAACATAAAAGTTTGTCTAACAAAGATATTGGTGTTCTATAATCTCCCAAACTACATTAGCCAGTCGTTCAGGTTCAAAATAAGCTCCCCGTCTTACCTTAAATTCATCATTCGTCATTTCATACAGTTTACTCTCAAACATTTTGAGGAATGCCTCAACTCTTGAATCAATATGTTCAGGGCCCTGTTAAGAGAGATCGTAGTCTAAGTTAAATGAACAAGACAAGAGGTACATACAAAAGAATGAACCTGCTTTTCACCTTTACTGTAGATTGGATAATGAACTGCACCCCACGGATTCCGGAATCATTCCTAATGAAATATATAATTAAAGGCCTCAAAATTTGGTGGACCAATCCACGAAAAAGAAGGGGCAATTTTTTTTCATACCTCTGCATGAGGACGGTAATGTATCCGAGTTGTTCTACGGATCTAAGCTGATGGAAGGCAGGTTGCTTTGCAATAAGAGCAAAAAGCTGAAGTTTCACATTCAGTATAAAATCATCACGATGAACCTGACCAGTCAAACGTGATTCACATCAGAAAAAAAATAAAGTAGATACTCAAGACGAAGCATAATCTCACGCACAACAGGCAAAAAAGACAAACAGACACCAGAACAGAAACAACAGAAATATCAATGTTGCATCCATACGCAAACATGTATATGATTATTCGACACAAATATGTTCCTTTCAGAGTCTTACAGCTGTACTGACATACATCAAGAATTTTTTCCTTGAAGCTTAGCACCACCAAAAGAGGCAATAGAGAAACATACACGATTTTCATCTATTGTATCCAGTGCATGGTCTCCAGAAAAGTTCAAAGTCACAAAAGGTTGAGTTGAACAAATGAGTGATACAACATTTCAACTATTGGTCAAGAAGAAAATATCTTCATAAACATGATTCAGCTAAACACCAATGACATGTCCTTTCGGAACAAGAGTTATCTGAACTAAAGCTCCAATATTCAGCAGCAAATACTTTCTTAAATGAAAATGACATCAATTGGTTACTTTTCAGCATGTTGTGCATTGATTCAAAACTTAACATCATTGTCTTTATGGATGCTAACGAGATTCCTGAACGAATGAAAATTCATTCAAGATGGGGCTGTAGGAATTATAGAAATATATGATTATGTAAATATCCTTTAATTAAGGGATTCTGTAAATATTTTACAATCCCTTATTTTAAGGGATCTTATCTCCTAGGATTAGTATTTTTTCTTTCTTAGAGTTTCCTACTTTAGAGAGATGATTTGTATATAAATATGTAATTTGTCCTATTGAAAAGAATAATAAATTACAGAGAATTACTCTGATTTCTACATGATATCAGCTTAGGTTACGGTTTCTTTCCAACCTAGATGATGTCCACAACTTCTTCTCCTACTCCGGAGATCACTTCAAATCCAGAAAATTTTTCTGGTTCTGCTGCTCAATCAGAAGGTAATCTGGTCATGAAAGAACCAAAAGGTAAACCTCATGCTACAGTTTTTTTCTCCTCCCAGTCGTCCCCTAATTGGATCATTGATTCTGGTGCTACGGATCATATGACTGGTAATAAGGATTTGTTTTGCAATTTTTTTCCAAACTTTGGTAAAGCTGTCAAAACGGCTGATGGTTCTTTGTGCAAAATAGGACATGGCACTGTTATTCTCAATGACCAGATTGTACTTACAAATGTCCTCTTCGTACCAAATCTGGCTTGCAATCTGGTTTCCGTTAGTAAACTTTCCACCGACTTGCACTGCTCTGCAATTTTTAATGATATTGATTGTACTTTGCAGGCACTGAACTCGAAGAAGATGATTGGTAAGGCCAGCTTGCAGAATGGTCTCTACATTCTTCTTGCCTCTACTAAAACCGAAATCTCGAAATCTTTCACCACTTTAGAAAAAGTTGATAATGTTATGTTATGGCACTATTGTTTAGGTCATCCTAGTTTTCACTATCTTGCAAAAGTTTTTCCTGCTCTATTTATTCATAAAAGGCCAAATTCTTTTTCTTGCAAAGTTTGCTCTCTTGTCAAACATACTAAATCAACTTATTCTCCTTCTACAAATAAGCCTTCTCACCCTTTTGCTTTGATCTACAGTGATATTTGGGGTCCTTCTCGGGTGAAGAATGTTGATAATTGTAAGTGGTTTATCACTTTCATTGATGATCACAGTAGGATAACTTGGACTTATTTGCTAAAAGATAAATCTGAAACTGCTGGTGTTTTTACCCAATTTTATAACATGGTTCTCACTCAATTTGGGTCTAAAATTTAGCTCTTTAAATCTGATAATGGCAGTGAATTTTTTACCAAGTCTTTGGGTGCGTTTTTCAGGGAAAAGGGCATAGTTCAGATAGTTCTTGTGTTGACACCCCACAACAAAACGGTATTGCCGAAAGAAAAAATAGACACCTCCTTGAAGTTACTCGTTCTCTTCTATTTACCACTAATGTTCCAAAATATTTGTGGGGGGAAGCCTTATTAACTGCCACATATTTAATCAATCAAATGCCTAGTAAGGTTTTACAATTTTTTTTTTATAGGAATAGGAGGTCTCATTAAAAACCTCCCTCATAGTTGCCTCTTGAGAAGAGGCAACTAGCGGAAGGAGGAAAAGAGTACCTCAATAAATTAATAAACCCGAAATACATACAACTATAACTTACAACATCACCCGAAGTAAAATACCAAACATAACCGCTAACAGTAAGGACATTCAACCTATCCCCTCCTTAGCTAACTTGTCCGCCTCTCAATTACAAGCCCTAGGAATCAGCCTAACCATAATATCCCTACCCGAAATTACATCCCCAATTTCCCGAACCAAAGAACTGAAGAACGAAGGAGCCTCAGTAGGCCTGAAAATCCAATCCACTGCAGTCTTACAATCACTTTCGAGAATAAGTCTTCCCTTCAACGCCCAATCCGAATGTAGAAATAGATCAATTCCTTCTTTAATGGCTTTCAACTCAGCAAACAGAGGAGGACCAGGTCCGACAGGCTTAGAGAAATAGATCACGGTAGAGCCATTCGAATCTCTCAACAGACCTCCAATTCCACCCTGCAAACCATCACTTCTAACAACCCCATCCACATTGAATTTATAAAAATCAGGTGGAGGTGAATACCAGCACAGATCCTTCTTCTTCTTCTGAAAATTTACTGCTAAACCATCTGCAAGCCTTGGATCTCCTATTAATAGATCTACCTGGATGTTAGCTTCAGGAAATTTAGCTAGAAACCATTTGGCCAGCCTGAATCTGCAAATGAAGAACAGTGTAGATCTCTCAAAATTCCATTTTTCAAACACCACTAAGTTCCTAGCCTTCCAAATCGACCACATAACAACACCCGGGATGAAATTCCAAATAGAAGAAGAAGCCTTCAAATCAGACCATGAACTAAGTAGAGACGGGGGATCTTTGGGCAGAACAGTATTAACCTCCCATAAATTGATGAACAAATTCCACAACTCCCAAGCAACAGGACAAAACATAAATAAATGGTGAATTGTTTCTTCCTCCTTTTGGCATAAAGGACATAATAACTCTTCCAAAGGAATACCTCTTTTCTTCAATTCCACTCTAACAGCTAATTTTTGGTGAGATAATTGCCATAAAAATGTTTCAACTTTTGGGGGAGCCAATCCAGACCAAACCCATTTCTTCCACTGAAAATTTCCTCCAGAGCTACGAATAAGAGCTGATCTACAGGCCTTAACTGAGAACAAACCATCTCCACTCCCTGACCAAATTAGGAAGTCATCAACAGCATCAATCAAGACAATATTATCAATCAAAGTCATTAGCGATATCCATTGATCCAATTCCCAATCGCATAAATTCCTCCTCAGACAAATATTCCAACTCCAACAATTATTATCATAGCAGCCAAAGTCCACAACTTTCCCCGTTTTGTTAATCGATAAAGCATAAATCCTAGGAAATTGTTCTTTTAAGGTGGAATTATTAGCCCAAATGTCATTCCAGAATTCGATTGATCTACCATTCCCCACTTGGATCTTGGAATTAGACCTCAGACAGTTCCCAATATCGTCCTTTTTCTCATAATTATTCACAATTCCTCTCCATATCCATGAATCTTGCGGGTTAACAGCCTTATTAATTGAAAGAGACAAATTGTTAATATTGTGCTTGCAGCAGATCATCTCCTTCCACTGAGAATGTTTATCATTTGCAAACTTCCAAACCCACTTCCCCAGAAGCACTCTATTCGCCATCGACAAATCCAGGACACCCAAGACACCCTCCTTGTACGGTTGACACACAATTTTCCAATTCACCCAATGAATCCGCTTCTTCAAGGGATCGTCCCCCCAAAGGAATTTAGCCATCAGAGAATTCAACTTTTGGTTAATCTTTAGAGGGATTTTGAAAATAGAGAGAAAGAAAATTGGCAAGGACGACAAAACAGACTTCACTAATACTAATCTCCCTGCCATCGATAATGTTTTTGCTTTCCAGCCCTCTAATTTGCTATTGAACTTCTTCAGAACTGGTTCCCACAACAGATCCGAATTTCTGTAAGTGCCTATCGGTATACCAAGGTATGTCATAGGAAGAGCCCCAACACCACAACCAGCGATCGTAGCCCATTCCTTTAGAACCTCCTCATCCATATTAACACCAAATAACTTGCTCTTTGATAAATTAAGTTGGAGGCCTGTCATTAAACCAAAGACCCTCAATACTCTCCTAATATTCATAATTTGAGCAGAAGAGTCCCTGCAGAAAAGTATTAAGTCATCTGCGAATTGTAGATGCGTCAAATGAAACTTATTTTCCGCCCTACCAACACTGAACCCTTCAAACAGAGCACAATCAGCAGCCTTAATCAACATTAGATTCAGTAATTCCCCAACAATATTGAACAGCATAGGAGACAAACTGCAGCCTTGCCTCAACCCTTTCCCCATCTTGAATTCATTAGTCGGAGAACCATTGACAAGAACAGAAATTGAAGCAGAGGAGATGCACAAATCAATCCAAGAAAGCCACCTATCTCCAAAACCCATAATTCTAAGGAGTCTCAACAATATCGGCCATTCCACCGAATCATAAGCCCTTCGAAAGTCCACCTTGAAAACAACACCTTTCCTCTCTTTTTTCCTCCAATCATCAATAACTTCATTAGCCAAAAAGGCACAGTCCAGTAGCTGCCTTCCGGGAATGAAGGCAAACTGAGACGGACTAACCAGAACACTAATAACAGCCGCAAGCCTTCTAGCTAGGACTTTGGAAATTATCTTATACAGACTGCCAACTAAGCTTATCGGTCTGTAATCTTCTATACCTTCAGGATTTCTGATCTTTGGAATCAACGTTAGGAATGAATGATTGACCCCATGCTCCCAAATCCTTCCATTATAAAAGTCCTCGACAAATTTCATAATGTATGACTTCAGAGATGGCCAAAATTTCTTAAAGAAACCCATGGTGAAACCGTCTGACCCCGGTGCTTTGGCACTATCCGAGTGGAAGACTGCCTCCCACACCTCCTGTTCTGAGAATCTAACTTCAAGAAGCTTCTTTTGATCATCTGTCAATTTAGCAAAAGTCAAATTGATTTTGTCCACCTCTAGGGTTGTTACCGAGTTAAAATTGTCCTTGAAATAATTAAAAACAAAGCCTCTCAGGTGATCCGATTCTGAAATAACATCCTCAGCTACCTTCAATGAAGAAATAGTGTTAAACCTATTCCTATTCAAAGCACACATGTGAAAAAACTTTGTGTTTCTATCCCCCTCAATACTCCATCTCACTCTTGACCTCTGCAGCCAAATGCTCTCCTCCTTCCTATGCAAATTCCACAGCTCCTTCCTCGCAACAACCATCAAGTCCCATTCTTGAAAAGAAGTCCCCTCTTCCTGTAGCTTCAATTCCAGACCATTAATTCTGGATTCTAATTCAGAAATAGCATCGGAAAATCCCCTGTGATTATTCCTTGGCCAATTCCTAATAGCCTGCTTGGTTCCTCTAAGCAGTGAAAACAGACCCCTACCACCAATACCCTTCCTTAGATTTGATAATGACGATTCCACCACCCCAGCAAACCCATCTTCCTCAAGCATGTAATTATAGAACCGAAACGGCTTAGGGCCCCAATTATTGCATTCTTCTACCAACAAAACTGGATTGTGATCCGAAAGGGATTTAGGAAGCATTTTTTGGATCACATTTGGGAACTGATTTAAAAATGATCCACTAATCAAAAATCTATCCAACCTTACCCAAGTAGGTGACTATTATTGCACCATGTAAATCGCCCCCTACTAGCGGTAAATCTATCTCCTCTATTCTTCCACTTAAAATATTTGGTTGTACTGTTTTTATCCAAAACATTGCTCCTAATAAGTCCAAGTTAGATCCTAAATCATTAAAGTGTGTACTGGTTGGATATTCTTCACTTAAGAAGGGTTATAAATGCTATCATCTTCCTTCAAAACGATTTTTTACCACTATGGATATAACATTTTATGAGCAGGATCCCTATTTCACTCAGGCTGAAATTCAGGGGGAGATATGTAAGGATTTTCAGCCACATCAGGTATCTCCTCCTCTTCATTCTCAACCTTCAGAATTGCCACCAATTTTGTCTTTACCTACAGATTTGTCACCTGTAACTACTTCCATTGATCCACCGGTAGTACCTATCACTACTTCACCCATACCCACTTTAAATACACTTCCTGAAAATACACCTACTCCAATTCAAAATATTCCACAAACAACACCAATCAAACAGCTCTGTTTCTATACAAGGAAAAGAAAACATATTCCTGAGTTTGTTTTGCAATCTGATGCTTGCTGAGAATTGGATTTGGGTCCAACTGCCGAAATAGAAGAAGAAATCAGTAAGTCCACTTCCCCTACCCTAGATGACTTCCCTATTGCTATTAGAAAAGAGGTTAGACAGTGCACCAAGCATCCTATTGAAAAATTTGCTGGTTATAATTCATTGATGCCGTCTTTTCAAGCATTTACAGCAAACTTGGATAAAGAACAGGTTCCCACAAGCATAGCTGAAGCTCTAAAGGATTCAAAATGGAGAAGGGCTATTGAAGAGGAAATTTGTGCACTGGAGAAAAATGCTACTTGGACTGTTTCGAACCTTCCTCAAGGAAAAAAGGCTATTGGCTGTAAATGGATCTTTACTGTAAAGTATAACTCAAATGGTAGCATCCAACGATACAAAGCGAGACTAGTGGCCAGAGGCTTTACACAAACATATGGGATAGATTTCACAGAAACTTTTGCACCTGTGGCGAAGCTGAATACTGTTCGAGTACTCCCAAGTTTGGCTGTAAATTGCGATTGGAAATTACACCAACTTGATGTAAAAAACGCTTTTCTTAATGGCAAGCTAGAAGAAGTCTATATGAAGTTGCCACCTAACTTAAAGTCTGTTGAAGGAAGTAACAAGGTGTACAAGCTCAACAAGTCTCTATACGGGTTCAAACAATCACCTAGAGCTTGGTTCGAGAGGTTCACTAAAGTCATCCTAAAAAACGGCTACAAGCAATCCCTCGCCGATCACACTCTTTTCATCAAGGTAACTTCTACAAATAAGAAAGCTATCCTTATTGTGTACGTGGACGACATAATTCTTACCGGAGATGATGAAAAAGAGATTTGCAATTTGAAGAAGTTGTTAAATAAGGAATTCGAAACTAAGGACTTGGGAAAGCTAAGGTATTTCCTAGGAATGGAGATGGCAATGTCAAAAGGACTTGTGATCAACCAAAGAAAATATGTACTTGATTTACTCAAAGAAACTGGTTTTCTTGGTTGTAAGCCGATTGATACACCAATGGAGGCAAGCTTGAAATTTAACAAAGAAGGCAAGCTTGAAATTTAACAAAGAAGATGGGTCATTGGTAGACAAAGAGAAATTTCAAAGATTAGTTGGAAAACTAATTTATTTATCCTTGACAAGGCCAGATATAGCATTTCCTGTAAATGTGATAAGTCAACACATGACTAATCCTATTGAAGAGCATATGGCAGCAGCAAATAGAATTCTCAAGTACTTGAAGAAAACTCCATGACACGGTTTAATGTTTAAGAAGACACAAGACAGAACTGTTAAGATCTTTACAGATTCTAGTTGGGCCGGAGACCTTACTGAAAGGAGATCCACTAGTGGCTACTGCACCTTTGTTTGGGTAAACCTTACAACTTGGAGAAATAAGAAACAATTTGTCGTTTCAAGAAGTAGTGCTGAAGCTGAATTCATAGCACTAGCATTGGGAATATGCGAAGGAATTTGGCTACTTAAACTACTGAAAGAACTTGTCACTAATCAAGAGGATCACTTTGAAGTTTTGTGTGATAATCAATCTGCTATTCAAATTGCCAAGAACCCAGTTCAACATGATCGGACAAAGCATGTTGAGATTGATAGGCATTTTATTGCTGATCAAGTTAACAAAAGGACAACCACACTTTCATACATTCCTTCAGAAGAACAAGTTGCAGACATTCTTACTAAGGCTTTGCCAAAGCCTGTTTTCAATAAATTCCTATTCAAGCTGGGATTATACAATGTATATTCTCCAACTTGAGGGGGAGTGTAGGAATTATAGAAATATATGATTATGTAAATATCCTTTAATTAAGGGATTCTATAAATATTCTACAATCCCTTATTTTAAGGGATCATATCTCCTAGGATTAGTATTTTTCCTTTCTTAGAGTTTCCTACTTTAGAGAGATGATTTGTATATAAATATGTAATCTGTCCTATTAAAAAGAATAAGAAATTATAGAGAATTACTCTGATTTCTACAGGGGCCACCAAATATTTTATGTTCTCGTGGAAAAAAACGATTACCTGAATATAGTGGACCAAGGCAGAATTCTCATCATTTGGATTAAGAACTTCCTTATTGTAGCAGTAATTCATGCCTTTTTCAAGTTTGATCACTCTATTCGTTAGAAACTGAGATGGAAACAGTGGTTGGCATATTGGATTTGGACCCTTAAAGAACACATCTTCGATGTGCTGAATCATTGATTCAGCTTCCTCACATTCAATGTTTCCTATGGGTAAAGCAAATAAAAACAAAAGAATGAGATTATTAGAACCAAGCGAGCACAACTAAATGCAACAAGAATGCGACTGAAGTGGAGAGGGGAGAAAGATATGACAAACCTGCTATGTAACACTCTAGGAAGGCCCGTGAGAGCATCACTGGAGCAAATTTTGCAAGGTCTTCTGCATTAAGATGAGGCAAAACTTCAAATTGGTCTGTCCAAGGCCATGTTTGATCCTCTAGTATTAACGAGCAATAATACATAGCCTGTTGATAGGGTTGCTTGAACTTGAAATTTTGATAGTCTTTAATTACCATTTCCTGATAAAACAAAAAGAATGCAAAGGCAAAACATAAGGTTACTAGAAAATGTATTAATTAACAAAAAAGAGTTTTCTAAACCATGTGCGCTCCATTGATGAACAATAAATTCAACTTTAATAAAAAGGCAGAACAAAAAACATTTAACAGCCCTATTCAATATCATGTGTTAGCAAAGTGACTACATGTCAGGAGCCTATTCTTGTATATTTTTATTTAGACAGATAGAATGCAGGTCTGCCCAAACAAATTTTTTTTATCACAAATTACACAAGGCTTTTTTGTCCTCAGGAAACCCCTACCTTCTACCTTCCTTTCAAAGGCAGGTTTAGAAAAGCACTGCATGTTGTGGACAGGCAGCTGCCTAGATTGTGGCTACCTTTACAAAACTAGTAGCTGTGAAATTTACATTATTATCCATAATTAAATTGCCCTCATCTTTTTTTCGGGGGAAAATAACTCTTCTACCTCTTAAAATAAAATTCATTAACAGTTACTGGTGAAGATTAGAAAGGCCCTTGTCTACTGCCTTTTCGCAGATGGCATAAGAATACCACATCTCTTGAAGATATCAGGCCTATGTTGTATAAAGAGTTAACTGGAGACTTTCCAGTCAACTATTTCTTTTTTTTTTTTGATAGGAAAGGTAGGCCTCTTTAAAAACCCCCTTCATGATTAACGGATCACACGGTGCTCCTTAATCATCGGAAGGAGGAAAAGAGTGCCTCATTAATTCATTGATAACCACAAGTTACAGATACTTAAAACACCCATACAATCAATCATTCAAATAAGCAACCCAAACCTAATAGAAACCCAACTAAAAACCAAAGATCTACCCAATACCAGCCTTAGCTAAGCTATCAGCCTCAACATTGGCTGACCTTGCAATCCATCTAATACTACTATTCAGTCCACTAACCTTGCCACCAATAGCTGTCACAATGTCTAAGTAAACATAGGGACAACGGTTGATGTCCTTGACCCATTCCACTGCTAATTTACTGTCTGATTCAACAATTAACCTTTCCTTAAACCGCTGCTGAAGCGAGTCAAAGAAAGATAACCCTTTCAAAATTGCCTTTAGTTCTAACAAAACTGGAGGACCTGGACCAGCAGCCTCTTGAAAAGAGCCCACCACCGAACCATCATGATCTCTAAGAATGCCCCCAACACCACTCTTCCTCCAATCTGCAGTCACAGCCGCATCCACATTCAGCTTAATAAATCCTTCTGGAGGTTTAGACCAGGACACCGTTTTGATAATAGGAGAGCTTAATAAGGAGCAGCAATCCCCAAGTGAAGGGTCACAAATAAGAGAGTCCTTAGGGATAGATACAGCCTTGTAGTAAGCTAAGAACCAAGCAGCCAGTCTACATCTTGCCAAAAAGAATAAATCAATCTGATCTACCTTTCCCCCCTCGAACACAATTGCATTCCTACCCTTCCACATTGTCCATAAAACCACCCCCGGAATGAAGGACCAAATTTTCGACTTAGGAACCAATTCATCCCAAGCGACCATAAAGCTGTGAGCATTGTCTTGAAAAACTGAAGAAACTCCCCAGAAAATCAAAAATTTATTCCATAAGGACCACACCACCGAGCAAGAAAAGAATAAATGTGCTGAGGTTTCATCCGCCTCTCCGCAAAAAGGGCAAGCAACATCCACAATAGTTGAAACTCCTCTCCTCTGTAGCTCAACTTTTGTAACAACCCGAAAATTTTAAAATAATATTTAATTGGGAATTGAGGTTTTAATTGAGTAATTGGTGAAAATTTGGGGACTAAATTGGAAGTTTTTAAAACTTGAAGCTTGTTTAAGAGTTAAAGAAAATTCAGGGACCAAGCCCTGAATTTACCCTAAAATGTTAGGTAAGGGCTATTATATACGTGAATTGGTTTCTGATTTCAGAAACCAATTCTTCCCAAATTCCCTCTCCCAACCTCAACTGCCGACGACGATCCCGACGCCGTCCGAATTCCGATCGTCATTTTAAAACCACCATCGTGTTCATCATCAAGCGAGGAACAAACCCTTCAATTTAATTGAAGCGAAACGCTGCCAAACGTCGTGAATTTCAAGTCAAAGCATCGACGTTTTTTTTTAAGCTCAATCGCTTAGAAAATCCTAAATTCATCGCCGATCGTTGCTCCTTTTACGACACCTCCCGCACCATCGTGTTCCTTGTGTCGTTCCGAGTCCGCCGGTGTCATCCTCGATCTCCGTTGACGGCGGCGAGTGGGGAGGTGGATCAGTCAAAGATTCGGCCGAGTTGAAATCGAGCTCTCCGCCGTTCAAAAATTTGAACCGATCTTTGTAAGTATCTCGAAATCGCTCAAAATAATTTTTAGAAATTTTTCCGTGATTTTTAGAGCTCCGGAGGACGTCGCACGCGCCCACACGCGCCGCCGCAGGCGAGTGAACGTTGGAAACCGGTTTTGACCGGTTTAACCGGTTTTGAACCGGTTTTGACCGGTTTGACCGGTCACGACCCGTTTACCCGTTTACCCGACCCGTTGACCCGACCCGTTGACCGTTGACCGTGCTATTCTGGGAATTAATTCGGTTTTGGTGCTATGCTGGGAATTAATTCGAAATGGGTGCTATTTCGGTAATTTTTTTAAAGGGTAGTTTGTTGACCTCCTTTGACCAGAACTTTGACCGGCTTTGACCAACTATTAAACGACCTTTGTTTTCGACCAAGAATACCTATCCTGATAGTTTTCGACGTTCCGAATCCGTTTTTGGGGTCCGTTTTGCTAAATTCAAACCCGAAAGTCTCCAAATCGTCAGTCAACCCCGTTGACTTTAATTTTGACCAAGAATTCGAAATTTCGGAAGGTCATACTTTATATTTTTCGACGTCCTGAATTTGATTTCGAAGTCCGTTTTGCCAAATTCTGACCCGAAATTCCCGAATCAAGCTTGTAAACCCAAAAGGCTTAATATTTTAATATTTTGATTATTTAAATGAGATTTGGTCAAGGATTTACTCAATAAAATATTTTATGAAGGTACTCGTGTTTCACCTGAGCAAGGATCAATTAGGTCCGGTATTATCCGTTCGTTAGATCAGCCTGAACCGCGTACTACGAGAATTACCCGTAGGTTTCCGTATATTATTTAAATAATATTTAGATTATTTATATTAGGATTCCAATATGGATTTTTTTTCTAATTCGTAGGATCTAGTGCTGCAGCAGAACGTGATCGACAAACCCAATAGTAGGATTCCCTATCCGATTTCTCAGAGTGTGACAGGTGTGTTTCCTGACAGTGTTGTTTTACTGTTTTAAAATATTATTTGAATTATTTCAGAATGGTGATTATTCAAAATATTGTTATGACATGATACATGATATCTGATTTCTGAATAATGGTTACCGACATCTGATTACCGTATTTCTGTATATGATTTTCAAGCATGATCCATTTTCATGTTTTAATGGATTAATCACCATTTTTACTCGAATATATATTTGTTTATTACTGTCATTGGGGGGGAAAAGAATTGTTGGAGGAAGAAAATATTGCAGGCTCCTCGGCTTTGTGCTCAGGGCCTTACTGGTCGTGACGGGGTGTATGGTTATGGGAACCTACACAATTTGTTCGTGACGGATGGGGGTAGTGTTCATATTTAAAAAAAACATGTTGCATAAATCGATTTTTATTGATAATATCTTATTAATATGTTTTTGTACGCTGTATGGAACACACTGGGCTTCTTAGCTCATTCTGTAAATTTTAACTTTTTTCAGATAACAGCAGACCGTAAGCTAGCAGATTTGGCATCAGGAGAAATCAACTATTTTATTTTGTACGAACATATATTTTTGTATGTTTTTCGGTTATGTTTGGTGACATGTATTTATTATCGTTTGGACATATCTGTATTATTAATATTATGTTTTATATTATATTTAACGTTCTATAAGTTATATAAAAAAAAAACCTCTGAATGGGATATGTGACCACTTAGGTTTGGGTCTAACTCACAGACTGGGTCTAGGGGGTTACATTTGGTGGTATCAGAGCCTTTGGTTTTAAACACTCGGACTGTATATGGGTCCTAAATTTTGGATTTTTAAGAAAATAAAAAAAAATGTCACCTTATGTTATGATTTAAAGTTTTCTCGAGATCTCTGATGCTAATCTGACACATGTTTCAAATTCTTTCTGTAGAGCCTTATAGATCCAACGATGAATGCTGCTAGAGGTCGTAGGACAGGACATGGACGTGGTAGAGGGCGAGTCACTCGACCTTCTGTTACGATAGACGATCCGATGTCAGCACGTGATCCTCCTGTTCCGCAAGTAGATCCGACTCTTTCTCATGATGATCAGTTTACTCCCGTGAGAGACCCTCCCGTCACTGAAGATGAGGATACAGAGATGAATGAAGACGTCATTAATAGAGCTATCTTCCGCATGTTTCAGAGAGCTGCTAGAGCCCCTAGTAACATGACTGCAGTGGAGATTTCAAATTCTCTGGTTGCTGCTGGTGTAGTACCATTTGAGGGTATTACTGGTGGACCTCCGACAGACGCTGAGTACTGGCTGGAGGACACAGAGAGGATTATGGATGAGATGGACCTCAGACCTGAGCAAAAGTTAAAGGGGGCCTTAACTATGTTGAAGAAAGAAAGCTTCAGATGGTGGCAATCCATTTCTGGTAGTATTCCGAGGAACCAATTAACATGGGATCTTTTCAAGACGCGCTTCCGGAGTCGCTACATCGGAGAGAGATATCTGCAGGAACGACGCCAGGAGTTTCAGAATCTAGAGCAGGGTAATATGTCTGTTATGGATTATGAGGTTGAATTCATCCGATTGAGCCGATATGCTCCTGGACTTGTGGACACTGAGACAGATCGATGCTTGAGGTTCGAAAATGGACTCAGGTATGAGATCAGAAGTCGAGTCGCTACCCACCGAGAGAGAAATTTTGACGCCCTGGTTGAGATAGCCAAGACTGCTGAGGAAATAGAGCGATTGG